AAATTTATTTTGGTTATTTAAATTATGATTTTGTGAGTAGAAGATTAGGACAGAATGTTTTCCAATAGATGTTTACTTTCATTTTTATAAAAAAAATAAATATTACCTTAACATAAGAGGATATACTTTTTGAAGAACATTTAGCTGGGTGTAGTGGTGCAAGCCTGTAATCCCAGTGGCTGGGGAGGCTGAGACAGGAAGATTGCAAGTTCAAAGCCAGCCACAGCAAAAGCAAGGCACTAAGCAACTCAGTCTCTAAACAAAATACAAAATAGGGCTGGGGATGTGGCTCAATGGTTGAGTGCCCCGACTTCAGACCCTACCCCCCACCTCCCCAGAAAAAAGGAATGTTTATATGCTTTAGTGGAAAGTATTTTTTTTTATCAAAGAGCCATTTTTGGTTTAATATCCTTAGCGTACTAACCCCCCCTAATATTATTAACTTGTTTATCCTACTTATAAAATTGTATAATTAAGGACTGGGAGTTTAGCTTAGCAATAGAGCACTTGCCTAGCAATCGTGAGGCTCGGGGTTAATCCCAAGCACTGAAAGAAAAAAAAGATTGTGTGATCACTCATAAAGACTTTTGTGGTTAAGGTAACATGTTCTTGTTTGAGTAAGTCAGTTGACTGCCAGAAATTAAGGATGTATAAAAATATTTCTTCATAAAAACACTTGGGGGTGTAGCTCAGTGATGAAGTGCTTGCCTAACATGTTTGAAGCCCTGGGTTCAAGCCCAGCATTGCAAAAACAAACAAAAACACTCGGATACTTAATTTTTGTCTCCCCCACACTTAAAATCACTTTCTAACTTCTCAGTTAACTTTGATTTTTGCTTGAAACCTTGATGGAAAAGAGAGTCCTTAAAAAACAAAACCAAAAAAAAAAAACAAAAAACAAAAAACAAAAACCCATGATGTTAATATAACACATCATTACTACTCTTTCAGTTTTAAGTGGGACTGTGGATCTTTAATAACTGTTGGATCATTGTTAATTTTTATGGTTATTTTGATTCATGTGTGAAACCAAAAATAGTTATGTATGTGGCCTCATTGGCTGAACAGCCAGTGAGTGCTCTTTTTTTAACCCTGTTTGCTTTTTCAACACATGTGCATTTTGGCTGATCTCTGCCAATAGTTAGGCTTCGGTCTGTTCCCCATTTGGTAGTCCATGCAGAAAACCGAGTCGATGCCATTTCTTTGGAATTGTCTTTGTTCTGTTCTGGGTTATTAAGTTTGTGTAGTGTTCCCTTTGACCTTTCATTTCTATCCCTCCCTCGAATTAATTTCATTTCAGGCAGGCTGTTAATTTCATTTCAGGTACACACTGCTTGTTCCTTTTCTAAATTATCCCTGACCTTCACCAATAAAACAACAATGTGATGATGGTTTATAATCATGAATAGTACTAGTGACATTAGACATAACCGAGAACTGGTGTTGTTTTGGTCATCTTTTTCGTTGCTGTGACTAAAAACACAGATAGGAACAATTTTAGAGGAGGAAATGTTTATTTGGCGGCTCATGGTTTCAGACGACTCAGTTGATAGACAGTTGGCTCCATTCCTCAGGGATCTCGGTGAGACAACCCATTCAGTTCACTTCTGAATGTTCTTGGATAGTCTCACACATAAGCTCTTGGGGGACACCTTATATCTTAAACTATAATGTTCTACCTCTGGCCCCCAGAAGTACAGACTTATCTCACAATGCAAAGTACAGTTAGTCTATTTCCAAGAGTTTCTATAGTCTCAATGCAGTTTACGCATTGCCCAAAAGTTCAAGTCCAAAGTCTCTTAGACTCAGGGCAGACTTGTATTGTGAGCTCCTTAGAAAAAAATCAAAATCAATTTATTGGTGTCATATATGTAAAGGTATAAAGTTACATTTCTATTTAGAAAAAAGAGGGGCATAGAAAGAAGGGATGGGACCAAAACAAGACCAAAATCCAGCTGGGCAAACAAGTCCTGCAGTTCTGTGTCCACCATCTGGAGCACATCTGAGCTGCTGGGATTACAAGTGTGTGCCTTTACACCAGGCAATACTAGAATCCATTTTGACATAATTATACAAACATCGAATATGTCTTGTTCTAATTCAGACCCCAGTACCTCTCTTTCCCCTTCTACCCACCTCTGTTCCCTTTCTTCTGTTGATCTTTCTGCCATTTACCTATAGATTCATTTTTTTCTTAAACTCCCTTGAGCCTAAGATGGATGTGGTCTTGCTAATTCCTGTGATGCCCTCAAGCCGTCTTTCTTTTTGTCTCTGGGCAGAGTTTTTAACATTTCTTTAATGGTCCTGATATCTTTAACAACTGTTACTTCCTTAGCTCCAGTTTTACTCCCACCTTTCAAGTCCAGGGTTTTCAAATCTTTCCGCTGTGCTTTGTGTTCCTGAATATTGCAATAAACTTGGCTGAAAGCCTCCAGCAATACCCATGCCACTGCCTGAATAATATCCTGCCTAGAAATTTCTTATGTCAGATTAAGAATTAGTCCATCACTTTTAAAATCAGCCCCACAGAAAGTCTCAGGACACGGGCAAAATGTAGGCAACTTCTTGGCTAGAACATAACACTAATGGCATAGAAAGTGTTTTGTTAATTTTTTTTTTTTGTGTGTGTAATTATAAATTTCTCCCGGGCTGGCGATGTGGCTCAAGCGGTAGCGCGCTCGCCTGTCATCGCGGGGCCCTGGGTTTGATCCTCAGTACCACATAAAAATAAAATATAGATGTTGTGTCCACCGAAAAACTAAAAAATAAATATTAAAAAATTTTCTCTCTCTCTCTCTCTCAAAAAACAAAAAACATAAATTTCTCCCACCATTGTAAAATTTTCTTTTTGACTCCAGTATAGATTTTACATGCTTTTGTGTGATTAGCCTGGTTGACTTAAAATATCACTTACTATTACTCTAGATAAACACAATGGGAGTTCCTAACCACTTTTAAATAAGCATTTAGAAAACTTGTGAATTGGGGACTATCTTTGCTACTTTACTGATTATAATGTGAATGTTTTTATGTCACATCAGTGTTAGCAAGATGACCCCATTTGTTTTCTATTTAAAATTTTCTCTGTGATAAAAGAGAATTCCCTGAGCCCCCATGATCTTTAGGGGACATAACTCTTATGGGATCGTAGTTTATGATAATCAGCTGTTTTGTCCTTCTGAGTGATTGCTTTTATTAAAAATATTTTTTAGCCAGGCACCTTGGTGTACATCTGTAATCCCAGGGATTCTAGAGGCTAAGACAGGAGGATCACAAGTTCAAGGCCAGCTTCAGCAACTCAGCGAGGCTCTAAACAACTTAGTGAGATCTTGACTCAAAATAAGAAATAAAAAGGGTTGGGGATGTTGCTCAGTTCAAAACAAAACAAAACAACAACAACAAAAACCTCTGGCTGGGTTCAGTTCCCCAGTAAACCTCTTACCCAAATCGTAGCTGTCTGGATAATTTGAAATAAATATTATGTGTGGTAAGATGTTTTATTAATGAAAATGGAAGGCATGAAATTGATGTCATGTTTCTACCGTACCAACAGGTAGAAATTTTTCCTTTTTGATACTGGGGATTGAACTCGGGTATACTCAACCACTGAGCCCATCCTCATCCCTGCGACAGGGTCTCACTGAGTTGCTTAGTGCTTCGCTTTTGCTGAGGCTGGCTTTGAACTCAGCCTCTGGAGCTGCTGGGATTACAGGCACGTACCACCATGCCTGGCACTTTCTGTTTTAAAATATAGTTATAAGCACTGTGAAGGCATAGTTGTAAAAAGGCAGAATATATGTAATGATTTCCTATAGAGAATTGGAATAATTTAGTTCTATTTCTTTAGCAAATGATTTAATGGGCAAATTTATTTCATTGTAAAATCATGTTTTTATTGGTAAAAAGGAGATTGATACATGCTTTGATATCTGTTATGTCCCTGTTTTGTAAATAGTAGTCATACCAGGAGAGAAGATTTTTAAATATTTCATTCTTTGCTTGCTGTTTTGCCCTGAAAAATTATGATTTCCCTCAAAAGGGAATTATAATAGGATTTATTTTATATAAGTGTTTTTAGAGGTGCTTGTTTTCCTGATTTTAGTGGTTAGAAAGAGGTAAAGTTTTTAGTGTGTGGAACTGAAGATGGCCAGCAGAAGGTGTCCACTTAACCACTAACTCTGCACTCCGAAAACAAAAGATTTTTTTTTTTTCAGGAAATGGGGCTGATAATTAATAATGCATGGGGCTGCTGCAATTTTATGGATGTGGGTGTGTCTTGCTCTGTTATAGACCCCAGAATCTCCTCCCACCTTCTATCTTTTCTCCTTGTATGTGCCTAAGGGCAATAAGGAGCAGCACTGGTGTAATCCATTGTGTTGGGAAATTTGATCCCTGGAGGTGTGGAGGTGTTAGATCTGGGAAGTGTGATCCCAGGGGTTAGCTTTTAGCAACCCAGTGATAACCAGCCATCATCCTTTCTCCACCCCCATCTTTCATTATCTACACTTAATGCCAGGCCTTCTGCCCCCTGCCTGAGTTAGTTGAGGAATGTGACATTTCCTGTCCCCTCAGGCCAGGTGGGGCTGTAGGCAGATTGCTTTTTGGCAAAGAAAGCATGTGGGGAGTTAGTACAGGGGGCTTATTTTATAGAATTATTCTCTTAACCTCATGTTCCCACCATCCTCATCTATTTGCCCCCTTACAGTAGCATGAATAAATGTTTTTAGAAGTGTTGTAGGGGAATCAAAATACCAAACAATATGCACAGTTGATGTAAATATGTGGAGTCTGTAGACATAAGTAAAAGAACACATTAGCATTGGATTTTTGTAAAAAATGAAAGTATAAACTACTAGATAAAAACATTAGAAGTAGATTTTTCTTTTTATTATTGATGTTTATAGTAATTCTGAGATGTAGGAAATGTAGATTTCCCCCAAAAGTCTGCCTATCATGTTCAGAAGACTGTGTCCTTTAACTATTTCTTTTGTGTTTAACAGATTTCCAGCAAGCTCTCTATGAGTTGTCATACCATGTCATTAAAGGAAATCTAAAGCACGAACAGGCATCTAATGTTCTTAATGACATTAGTGTAAGTATATCTATGTTTAAAACTTAATTGTTGCATATCTCCTTTTGAGTTTAATATAAAGATCTTTCCAGGGACTGAACCCAGGGGTGCTTAGCCACTGAGCCACATCCCCATCCCTTTAAAAAAAAAGTTTTTTTGAGACAGGGTCTTGCTAAAATTGCTTAGGGCTGCCTTTGAACTTGCAGTCCTCCTGCCTCAGCCTCCCAAATCACTGGGATTACAGGCCTGTGTGTGTCACCATGCCCAGCTGACAATGATCTTTCAAGTGTGTGTAGCTTAGGTTTCATTTTACTCAAAATTATAGTAGTTTGTTTTTTAAGGTAATATTGGTAAGCTATTTTTGCTAGACAGCAATAAACGTATTTTAATCTTTCTGTCTGGTTGTAAGTAATGCAGAAAATGTTAGGGAAATTGGAAGAGCAAAAAAGTGCACGATAACAAAGTCTAGGTACCCTTAATGAAAAATGCTGCTGTAAATAATAAGTTGGCTAAAATATTTTCTCCTAATTAAAGTATAATGAGCTGTTTTTTGTTTGCAGTTAAGTTTAAAAATTAACTATTTTTAAAATTGAGTATTAAATTATTTTAAATTGTGGTTCCATGGCTCTAACATGTATTTCTGGTGTTCACCTGCTTGCTGTTTGTTTTAGAAAATATTAGATTTTTTTAAACCTTTAGTTAGCTAATTCTACTTCTAGAATTAAAGTTAGATTTAGACCAGAATGGGCTGGGATTGTGGCTCAGTGATAGGGTGCTTGCCTAGTACATGTGAGGCACTGAGTTCGATCCTCAGCACCACATAAAAAATTGAATAAGTAAAATAAAGTACTGTGTCCATCTACAACCAACAAAACAAAACAAAAAAAGATTCAGACCAGATGCTTTACATGATAGTTTGTATTTGAACTGGAAGATTGGCTGTCAAAGTATAAGAGGGGTTTATTGAACCCAGTAGCTATGATTCAAGTTTTACAATTGGCATGTTAGTCTGTTGCTACTTAGGTTGATTTTTAGACTTTTACAAATAAAAATACTTGTCCAGTTCAGATCAGCTTTTATATTGAGTTGGGAATCTGGGGCTTTTTGTCTCAGTATGAATTTCACTTGTTGTGTTGATTTAAGCTTCTGAAGCCTTTTTCTGTTTTGGGAGACTATCTCTTTTGTATGATTTTTGTGCTTTCCTGGAATACTCTTAAGGAAATCCCCCTGCCCATTTTTCCATTGGTGCATTGTAGTTGTACACAATTCTTTAGGAAATTCTAAGCGCATTGTGGTTCTCTCCCCCCCCCCCCCCATTCTTTGGTGTGTTTTGAATGGTATGGCTTTGATATTTCTCTTATACCTAGATTGTCTGCAGCTGATACCTGCAGAATCTATGTTGGAATGGTCTCTTGCTTTTTTATTTTGCCATACTAGAGGCTGAACCCAGGGCTTTGTGCATGCTAGATAAGTGCTCCTCCACTGAGCAACATCCCTAGCACACCCCCCTCCCCTTTAAAATTTTATTTTGAGACAGGGCCTTGCTAAATTGCTAAGGCTGGCTTTGAACTTGCAGTCCTCTTGTCTCAGCCTCCTGATTAACTGGGATTACAGATGTGTGCTACCTCACCCAGCTGGAATGGTATTGTTTTTAAACAACCAACATTCCATGTTTGAAAATTCTTGCATTGATTCATTTTTGGTCTTCAGGTAGCCTTAGTACTTGGCAATCAAATATAGTTAAGAATTCATAGCCCGCCCTTGAGAAACTTCACTAAATTGGGTTGACCATGAAGGTGATATCATTCTGTAAATTGGGCATTGATATAAGTTTTAGTGTGTTTATGGAATATAACTATTTTCCCATTTAATAATAGTAAATAGTCCAAGTAAGTGTTATGTATGTGTGCTTGGACTTAGTGTCTCCTTTCTTTTTGATTATTTAGTGATATCTTTGTATATACTTTTACAGCTGATTGTCTTTGTCCTGGCTCTCATAGCACTACACAGGGTCCAGTGTCTTAGCCACAGAAATGTATTTTGTGTGTCTCCTTGCAGTTGCTTGGTTTTCTTTAGAATTTCTTTCTTATAGTGTCTGAAAATATGCTATTTTTGGAGTTACTGTAGTGCTAGCAAACTATAATTGCTATAATTGAACCATGGTCCTTGGTTGGCAAATGGTTCTAAAATTGAGCATGGGAGTAGGAAGTCAGGAGACAAATACAGAATAATGCTGATGTTTTCATTCAGAAGCAGAGGATTTGAGTGTATAAAGAAAAATAGTTTTTGATAATTATTTTCATCTTCAGAGAATTTTGAGTTCTGTTAATTAGTTTTATATTGTTTTTAGATTTTTTGATGTTCTGAATCACTATGATTTTTTTTTCATACTGGGGATTGAACTCGGGCATTTAACCACTGAGCCACATCCCTAGCCCTACTTTGTATTTTATTTAGAGACAGGGTCTCACAGAGTTGCTTAGTGCCTCATAGTTGCTGAGGCTGGCTTTGAACTTGTGATCCTCCTGCCTCAGCTTCCTGAGCTGCTGGGATTACAGGTGTGTGCCACTGAGCCAGCTTGAATCACTGATTTTTGCATAGATCAAGTGTTGACTCAGGCATGAGCACAACAACATTTAAAGTTTGGATAAAAAAATGTATCATTCTTAATAGTTCTGCTTTAGGTAGGTATGAGGTACTCTAAATTTCATTGCTTACCTGAGGTACTTGTTCAGGTATCTTTTTAAAATATTTTTTTAGGTTGTAGTTGGACACAATGCCTTTATTTTATTTATTTATTTTTATGTGGTACTGAGGATCGAACCCAGCACCTTGCACGTGCTTGGTGAACACTCTACCGCTGAACCACAGCCCCATCCCCCCCATATCTGTTTTTAACAGATTATTTCATGGTAGACATTTAAACATTTTTATCTAACCATTACCTCTCTCTCTCCCTATTTTCTTTGTATTTGTGAGACGTGAAGAATTTTATCCTAGTGATGTTGGGATTTTGTTAGTTTTTGAGTTTAACTGAAGAGTACTGCTATTCTGAGACCATAATACTTGTTGTGTATTATTCTGGTATTTATTGTAAATATATTTTTAAAATTAGGAATTTCGTGAGGATATGCCTTCCATTCTTGCTGATGTATTCTGCATATTAGGTAGGTATAAAATCTTTATTTCACCTGTAATGTATGTTGTTTGATAAATTAATGTTAAATAAAATGTTTTTTTCAAAATAAAGAGTTTACAAGTGTGTAAAAGTTTCTACAAATCTAAAGCAATTTTTTTACTTTGTAGAGAATATAGTATTTTGAGACAAATGTTGGTAAATCACTTTATAGTTTTAAAATATAATTCAAATTTTTTGAGTGTTTGACATATATTCATATAAATTTAAGCTAAATTATTTCAAGTAAAAACAGCCAAGTTTTCCAACATTTAGCTTCTCAGTTATTGAAAGGTTAGTAACCAAATAATTAATGTCACTTAATTGATTTATGCCAAATAGGTTTTCAGTGAATGATGTCAAAATCTTAGGACATTCAAGATATTTACTTTATTGTTGAACTCGTAATTCTTCTTCGTTTTAGAACGAGCAAAAAGAGCCTAAGTAATCAAAAGTACTTTTGAGGATGAGTAACCTGCTTTGGAAATAGCAACTTCTTTATTTGTCCAGAATAAATAAGAATTCATGCAGGATAAAAAAGGAATATTTCTTTGACTTAGAACAAAAAGTAGTGTCCCTCTATGGGAAGCACAGACTTAAAAAATAGTGTGGATTACAATTTTTTTTCTAATTTTAGATTCACAGTAAAATAACTTTGAACACTGTTTCCCCCATCACTTTTGTGCTTTTCCTAAAACTTTGAATCAAATGGAAACATTTCTAGACATTATGATAATCACTGTAAAACAAGATATCCTCTGAGAGTTTGTCAAGCTGTAATGAATATTTTAGCTCATTAATCTTAATCCCTAGAATTAGGTAAATTAAATGTTTCACTGAGAGTCCAGAATTTGATCTCAACAAATATATAAATGTCTGTGCTTGATCTTTTGGGATGTTTCAAATTTCATAATAGTGGTTATGTTGGGAACAGGTCAAATTATATGTGGACTGTGAGTGATAAATGAAAAGAACAAACCATTGATAGGGCGACCATGTGTTTTAGTTTTATTTTTCCTGGTATGATTATCGATAGTGCCCTCTTTCAATCTCAAAACTGTCCTTTTTGGAAGATAAAGTACATGTTCCTGCTCTCAGGTGGATTGATTGATTGATGCCAAATAGAAAACCTTTGAACTTAATTTTTAAAATAGGTGCTAAAGATATTTTGTTAGTTTATAAGAAAGTATAATATGAAACAAGTTTCAATTTTGATTTTTTTTTTAACAATATATTTGTAAGACTGAAAGACTGATTTGTAGGTGGTGTTTTGTGAAAGCTATTGTTCCTTAATAATAGTGTTAGGTGTCTGGTCATCGTGGTGCCCTGCTGAAATCCCAGCTACTCAGGAGACCCAGGCCAGGAGGATTACAAGTTTGAGGCCAGCCCTAGCAACTTAGACCTTGTGTCAAAATATAAAAGATAAAAGGTGGTGGGACTGTAGTTCATTGGGAGAATGCCCCTTGGGCTCGATCTCCACTACCACCACCACACCAAAACAAACAAAAAAATCAAGAGCATAGTTTGTAATCAATTATCAGCTTACTTGTTCTAGTAATGTCTTTATTAACTTTATTAGCATATAGTTTCCCTTCATAATTATTTAGTGATGTGAATTATTGTTACAAGTCATTGCATATATATATGTGTGTATATGTACATATATACACACACACTATATATATACATATGAAATTGTAGTTGGACACAATACCTTCATTTTATTTATTTTTTTATGTGGTGCTGAGGATTGAACCCAGTGCCTTGCATGTGCTAGGCGAGCGTTCTACTGCTGAGCCACAACCCCAGCCCAAGTCATTGCTTTTTATTGGTAACATGAATTCATTAAGATGATGTCTGGTTCTCTTGGGAAATTTCTTTTAGCTTATCCAGCCCATTTTTACAAGCAAGATTAGGATGGCACAGTTGGAAAGAGAATTTCCCTCACCTGCTCCCTCACTCACCCACCCCAACCCTTGGCAGAAAATAAAATACAATCCAAGGGTGACCCCAGACCAAGGTAGGAGAATAGGAATAAGAATGTGAGCTATCTGTAATGATGCTGATGATAACGATGATGCTGATGATGTAGGTGCTATTTTTGGAGCACCTTGTATGTTTTAGGTATTGTATTAACCATTTAATTTAATTTTAATCCTCATAGCATCTTTTGTAAGGTAGGTATGTAGATGAGGAAAATAAGGTTCAGAGAAGTGATTTTTCTATGTTGTCTTTCTAATATGTTAAGAGTTATAAGGGTGCTGTAATTTCCAGGTTCACATAATAACTTGAAGGGAGTGTGAAAGCTGTAGTAACCTGAAAGCAGGACTCTGTTGTAACTTGATGTGCTGATGTGACCTCTGAGATACTGAGGACAAGAGTTGGAAATGGTTGGGCTTTTTATTAAAATTGAAGGGGAAATTAAAAAGAACTTACTGAAAATTTACTGTGGTCCTGTTAAGCATTTGCTCATATGGTCAGAACTTGAGATAATGATATCATAATCATCATGTTAGGTGGCTGAGAGGAGAGCAGCCTTGACTTGAAGAAAATGAATCTGTTCATAGGTTCTCTGATCTTAAGGACCTTGGGGAGTGAATATTATGGACTTTAGGGCCCTGGAGGATAAGTAGTTATTGGTTCAAAGAGTGATTACAGATTAGCTTCAGCCCTTTCAGGTCAGTATCCTTAAAGTTCTAGATTGAGGAAGAACCAGAAGAACAGATTAATAGTGTGAGAAAAGTGAGTCCCTGATGAGAGATACAAACAGACTAAAAAGTCTTAATGAGAAATTGGAGATCATATTGCATTTTGCATGCATAGATTACACCCTAACCCCACCCCCCCTCTTTGGTGCAACAGAGTGCACACAAGGCCTTACACATGCTGGACAAGTGTTTATACCACTGAGCCATATCCCCAACCCTTAACATTTCCTTAATACACTTGAGCTGGCTTTGTGCTTACTTGTAGTGGCCAGGATATGGAGAAATGGCAACTCTTGAAGAAGGAAAGATGAAAAAGGGCCAGAAAAATATGGTTATGTTTGATGATAAATCCCCCTTTCTTTTGATTTTCGGTCTTGACAATAGAAAGTAAACTAAGCAAAGCTGTGAAAGGACTTCTGTTGTTTTGGGAGACCACATAGAGACCAATTTTTATTACTTCACTAAAATTGGTGCCTTTTTAATATTCTAAGTTATCAAATTCAAAGATAGGCTTATAGTATGTAATCAGTTAGAGCAATAATCCTGAAATCAGCCTTGTGTGCCTTTCTGCCAATCCTGGTTGGAATTTTTGATGCTTGGCATTTACCACCAATTGTTTTATTTCTGCACATCTCAAATCCAGAACTAGCTTGACAAGCTTTCTGAATAATTTGTTGAAACTCAGGGAGGTCCTGGTTTTAAATATTTCAGTAGAAAGAAAACATAAATATGAATAATTTTTAATTTAGTGACTAGAATTGTCATTCAAAATAAGATGTTAAGTATCTTTTAGTATTGTCTTTTCATAATGTTGGTGGCCAGGTAACTTAGAATATGTTAGCTTGAGCAAGTGGCCATGGTCAGAGGTTTGAGAGTTAGAGGATCTTTCAAATTAAAAGATATTTTGTCATTACCAAGTTCAACTTTGCAATAAAGGAAATCATCCCTTTGTTAGTGTTTCCAAGAAGTGATAATTAAACTTGAATATTTCCCTTTTTTAAGAATAGTATTATTGTTATTTTTTGGGACTGGAGATTGAACCGAGAGGTGCTTTACTACTGATCTCACCCTTTTCATTTTGAGGCAGGGTCTCCCTAAGGTGCTTAGAGACTTGCTAAATTGCTGAGGTTAGCCTTAAATTTGCAATCCTCTTGCCTTAGCCTCTTTGAGTTGTTGGGATTACAGATATGTGACACTGTGCCCAGCTGTGAAAACAGTATATATATATTTTTAAGCTATGTTGCTTCTAATGCCAGAGCAGGTTGTTCCTGTGTGACCAACTTACTTTTATGGATATATCATAGGTGATAGGGTCACTCTCTAATATCAGGAGAAATTAAAGCATTCATATACATATGAAAGATATCTCATGTTACTGTGATTCTAAATTTTTCCAAATTCAGAACGAAGCATTTTAAAATTAGCTAGTCTTGGGGCTGGAGTTGTGGCTCAGTGGTAGAGAATTTGCCTAGCATGTGTGAAGTACTGGGTTTGATTCTCAGCACCACATATAAATAAATGAATAAAATAAAGGTCCACCAACATCTAAAAAAATTTCAAAAATAAAATTAGTCATTAAAAAATAAGCAATTTATTTTAGTGCTAAGGAAGTCTAGTCAAATTTTTAATCTTTCTTTTTCATCATTATAGATATTGAGACAAATTGTTTAGAAGAAAAAAGCAAGAGAGACTATTTTACACAGTTGGTATTAGCATGTTTGGTAAGTTTTAAAAAAAATATGTTCCTTTTCTAAATTTTTCATTTAAAAGTTATAATCACAGTTACTCACGTTAATGGACAAGAATATTGACATGCTATGGACTTCAATATAAGGTGAGATTTGGGTTTTGGAATTGAGTGTTTCATGAAATTAGACATGCTGTTTCTATGACATAAGCTTGTTACCAAATCATTTAAACTGTATAAGAAAAACTTTTCAGTGATATTCCTGACCTAGTAAGTTCCTAACAAAGAAAAAGGTAAGCATTTATAAATAAAGTAAGTTGAAATGGTTGTAGATAGCTTTTAAACTGAATTTTTTCATAAACGCTTTATTAGGCAAGGACAAGATGGAGGTAGTTTAAAAATAATAAATTCTAGAACTTGTTATAATCATTGTCTAGGAACCAAGTAGGAATGCCATTACTCTGACCTTGAAGAATATCCTGTCTTTGCTGTTGGAATTTGACTTACAGTAGAAACTAGAGGAGGCCAAAGTACGTACTGTATTATCTTAAGTGAAAATTCAGTTAAGACAGACTCAATGAGAATTTCATCTGTAGTTCTTATTGTTTGATGGCAGTGTATAGCATGCTTATAATTTTTAAGTAAATTTTTGGAAAGAGCTGTATACTATATATTTCATTACTTGTAGTCATTTTTTGTTCACTAGACTTTCCAAGCCTTTTTGCAAATTATAATTTGTGTTTTTTGTATTCTTATAAAAAAGTTATTTTTAATATATTTAAGATTGTGGATGCATCGTTGGAATGCTAAAGAATAAAAGTTCTTTAATTATTTTTTAATACAGTATTTAGTTTCAGACACAGTTCTAAAGGAACGCCTGGATCCAGAAACATTGGAATCATTAGGGCTTATCAAACAATCACAGCAATTCAATCAAAAGTCTGTTAAAATCAAGACAAAACTTTTGTAAGTATATATATCTTATGTTGCAGATCAAATAGCTGAATGTACTTTCTCATTTTAAATACTAGCAGTTTCTAAGTGTACTTTGAAGTATTTTTTTGTGATTAGTGTGGGTCTTGTGTTTTTTGCCTTCTAAAAGTAGCCTAAGATTATTGAGTTGGCAGTGGGTTTTACATGTGTGAAACCAATGTTAATTTTGTCCATTATAAAGTTAAAATAATACTCAATGCTTTGTATTATTAGCAATAAAATAATTTCATAGCTATGACCATATTCTATATATTCTTTATCAATAATGGAAATAATGGTTTGTTATTATTCCTTGGTATTAGTAATATTCTTTCCTTTTGTTACTTGTATTCCCCATGTAAGTAATGTTAGGGTTCTTTTATGAACTACTGTTGCTTTCTATACTAAAAGAGACACAATGAGGTTAACTGTCTATCAATAGCCATTTTTATGATTGTTTTAAGTTAGAGATATTCAATGAGAAGAATATACTCTTCTGTACAAGCTTGTTAATTGAAATTCAAATTTTCTCTTTAATGATATTTCTCTGATTTCAGTTATAAGCAACAAAAATTCAATTTGTTAAGAGAAGAAAATGAAGGTTATGCCAAGCTGATTGCTGAATTGGGGCAAGATTTATCTGGAAATATTACTAGTGATTTAATCTTAGAAAATATCAAATCTTTAATAGGTAAGATATATACACTCTATATGTTAAGTTTTTTTTCACCCGGTGAATAATATCCATAAAGATAAAAGGCTTGTATTACATATAATTATTTTTATTTAAGAAATAAGAGAAGTGCCTAGCTTATACTTTTAGTATTTTATCAGTAATTATAAAATTTAACATGGTATTCCTGAAAAATCTTTTTGTTACCTGTTACTTATGTGTTTATATTAGTTCTTGTTCTTTTTAGCATGTCTGTATTCTTAAGTATTTCTCAATCATCTTATAGAGGGCAGAAAATAAACAAATGTGAAAACTTTAATAATAAATCTTCAGTGCACTCCTGAAACCTGGGCATCTATTGGTTCTTTTGGACTTGATTTTAAAAAATCTCTTTAAGGAGACTTTGATGCACATTATCTTTATAACAGCCTCTTGCAGAATGTGTGAAAGTGTAACAGATAAGAGCTGTGTTATTCTCCCTCCCTTTTAAGTAACATTTCTATAGCATTATTTATTTGCATTGAGCATTTGGAGGGTTAATTTCTATAAAAAGGTTGAATGAATCATAGAAAAATAGGGTAATCTTAATTTTCTGAGAGCAGAAAGATTTTCTGCTATTATTTCCTAGGTGTTGTGTTGTGTTAAGGAAGATTTTGCAACACTATGCTCTGTTAGGTTTTAAGACCTGCAAGAGGAGTCTTATTTCCTGCTCATTGATTTTTATCTTGTAGAATGCTTTCCCCCAGCTTCTTGGTGGTTCTTTGTTTTTGCAATTTATATGTGATTAAGAAAGCTGGTGGTTTAATCCATATCCCCTTCCTCCAATGCTTTCTGTAAGCACTCAAATAAAATTATACTTATTACAGTCTTCCTTGTTCTGTGGTTTGGCTTTTGGTAACCAAAAAAGTGTAGAAGGTAAGGCAACTTTATCTTTTTCTTTGAAATACGCCTAGTTCTGGCAGTTCTACTTTCTTTGCTACTTCTGCTCTGTGTTGATTTAACATCAGGATGAGTGGTCTTCTAGAGTGGCAGGACTCTTGCTTACCTGTTTGGCAGTGACTCATTTTTAAAAGTTCTCCTATAATTGTTCTTTTCTGTTCTTTCTAGGGTAAGCTCTACATTTTCCCTACAGTAGTTTTTAAAATCTCTTTTGAGAAGCTTGTTAGTACTGTTGCATTATTTGTCTTTCCTGTATCTTGTCATGTACTTAAGATAGTATTCCCTCCATAAAAATACTGTGGTATGTAAGCTTCTCAGTCCCTTTGTTTTCACTGTTGACATTTTTATTTCTTCTGGTTTTTTTTTTTTTTTTTTTGGTCCTTATGAATTTATACCTTTTTATTCCTTTGTTATTTTGGGCAACATTTCAAAGGGATTTGCTTGAAGGTGTGCTTTTATCTAACTGGAAAATGTACATTACTTTTCTTCTAATTTTCTCTCATAGAGAACAGGATATGTTACTATCTCTGAAGAACAAATGTGATAATTACCACCATAAGTTCATGACATGTGTGGATATTCCATGAGTATAAACAGTTTGATTTCTTGGGCTGTCTCTTTGCTCTAACCCATCAAGTATATAGACTAGATGCACTCAAAACAGCAGCTCTTCAAGCCTTTCTTGACTACCCCTGTCAATACTCCCTGTTGTTCCCTGATCATTTTTCTTCTTAGCAATTATGACCTTATAATGTACAGTCAGCCCTCTCTATCTGCAGATTAAACTAACTGGGGGTTAAAAGCATTCAGGGAAAAAATTAAAACAGTACTAAATGTCTAGAGACTTTTCTTGACATTAATCCCTAAACAATACTGTGTGATACCTACAGTGTATTAGGACCATTATGTATATTTTATGTTGTCTTAGATATTATAAGTAATCTAGAGATGGTTTAAAGTATACAAGAGAATATATGTAGGTCACATGCAGATAATGTTCCATTTTATATAAGGGATTTGAGCATGTGTAGATTTTGATATCCTTAGATATTCTGGAACAACCTCTCTCAAATACTGATGGACAACAGTACTATGTATTTTATCCTCCTTGTTCCCACTAAATGTATACTCCATGAGGACAGCATTTTTTTTTTTTGGTCTGGTTTGTTTAGTACCTTTTCCTTACTGCCTGGTATGTGGGTGCTAAATAAATCCTGGGTAGAAAATGAATTACTCAATGGAGTATTACTCTGCATTAAAAAATGACAAAATCATAGAATTTGCAGGGAAATGGATGGCATTAGAGCAGATTATGCTAAGTGAAGCTAGCCAATCCCTAAAAAACAAATGCCAAATGTCTTCTTTGATATAAGGAGAGTAACTAAGATCAGAGTAGGGACGAAGAGCAGGAGAAGAAGATTAACATTTAACAGGGATGAGAGGTGGGAGGGAAAGGGAGAGAGAAGGGAAATTGCATGGAAATGGAAGGAGACCCTCAGGGTTATACAGTGGAGGGGGTAGAGAGAGAGGAGGAGAGGGGAGGGGAGAGGTGGGGAGGGGGGAGGGTGGAGGATGGGAAAGGCAGCGGAGCACAACAGACACTAGTATGACAATATGTAAATCAATGGATGTGTAACTGAGGTGATTCTGCAATCTGTGTATGGGGTGAAGGTGGGAGTTCATAACCCACTTGAATCAAAGTGTGGAATATGATATGTCAAGAAATTTGTAATGTTTTGAACAACCAACAATAAAAAATTAAAATTAAAAAAAAAAGAAAATGAATTACTCCTTCTCCCTTTCTTACAGAGTTCATAGTGGTTCTTATCCTCTTCCCCGACTTGGAGAAATTTAGAAAGTTTATATCCCTTGCCCAGTCCTTGTTTCTCTGTGGCAGATGACCTCTCATTCCCCCTGGTTGCCTGAGAAAGGAACTTTTGATGTGAAAATTGAAGTCAAGACTTTAATTCCAATGAGTATTCTTTTGAGTGTACGAATTTGTTAAGATTCCCTCTCATTGCAAACTCCATCTTAGACCTCATCTCTTCTGACTAGAACAGCACACTAACAAGGCATCTTATTTTTCATAACATCTTCAGATGGATTTCTCTGTGTTTATTCCCACTAGTTTCTCTTTGGGAGCCATCTAAAAAGGTATAATACCTTCCACAAAACTATTTTATATCTGCTCTCCTTCACTAACCATTGTCAAGTTTATTAATGAAGGAGAGGTATGTGTAAGATAGGTGCACTTACATTCAGGATACATTACTAGAGATAATGTAAGCTAGGTATACTTATATTCAGTGTACTTGGTTTGATAGAGAAATCCTTATTTATTATCCTTTAGCTAAAAGGCAGTTGTTTGCTCCCTAAAAGATTGTGGCACAGCAGAATGTTTATATCTTGTTTGACAGCCTGGGGCTATTTATTTATTGCATGTGCATGCAGAGAAGCAGAACTATTATGAATCTGTAGGGTGGTTGCAATCTCATGTCTGACACTAAATTTGAATGACTTACTAAAGAGCAATGAAGAGTGATTAGTAGACTCTTGATCTGCCAAGTCATATATAGATCCTTTCAGGTGGTTCTTGCATCAGGGTGGCAAAAAGCATCTTTTTTAGAAATTAGAGAAAAGAATATTAGAGTTGGGCTCCTTTGGTTGAACTATTAAGTATACTACCCTTCTGCTTGCCTTTCAAAAAATCAAAACATCTGTTATATGCCCTAAATATATGCAATAAAAAAGTGATTGATAGGTATTCTTTCCTTCTAAATCAGTAGTTAGCAAATTTTTTTTTGTAAGAGGTAAGAGTTTTTTTTTTTCTTTTTAATTTTTTGGGGTCATGTTTTTTGTTGCAACTACTCTGCCATTATAGGGTGAAAGTAGCCACAGATAGTACATAAATATGACTGTTTCAGTGAAACTTTATTTACAAAAACAGCCAAATGGATTTAACCCACAGGCTATAGCTTGTTGATTCTTGATATATCCATATATCTATATATCTATATGTCTATATATCTCTATAGATATAGGGATATATAGATATATCTGCCTAAAAACTAGTCGTGGAGCTACTTTACTTGAGCTTAGTTTTGGTGATTAAGAATGATTCTTCTTTGGTTTTGGGGTTAGCAGTTCCAGGGTCTAGTTGTCCTAAGCTCTAATCCTTATTTTCTCCTAGAATTAAGAGTTCAGAACCTTCTTCATTTGTTGCTTGGTGTCTAAAGTTATAGATCACCTAGGAAAGATAGGGTCTTTGTCCTTTTAACTTCACCAGTCCTCTTGGTTTCTTGTCAAATGATCAGAGAAATATTGAAAACAAAGTAATACCCCAAGCCAAACAGTTTTTTTTCCCCCTCGGGAAGTTTATAGTACACTTAACCCCTTTGACTACATTATTTTGAGAATAGTTAGTATTTAATTATCTTTGGATTAATTTGAAAACTGGTCCATTTAGCCCAGATGCATCTTGTCATCATGTCAGCTTTCTCCTATTCCTTTGAAAGGGAAGCTATTTGGCTGCCAGCTTTACTTAAAATTTGGCTTTATTAAAATTTCTTGACTGTAAGTTAATTAAATGTCATTTTTTCCTTCTGCTATGAAAACAGTGATTAATGTTTTTAAGCATAGGCTTTTAAAAAAATAATACTTTTATTAGCTATATTTTTCTGCATCTTGATTTATTTTTTTTAACCCTGAGATGCTGTTTTTTTTTAACAAACACTATTTTGCAGAAATAGTCTACATAAGTTTTTTTTAACTGTTGAGAGTTGATTTAACAATTCCAAATATAGTATTTCCTATCAGTTTTTCAAAGCTATTAACAAAAAAGTTTTATTCTACTTTTAAATATATCAAGCACTTCTAAATATCTAGAACTAGATATTTTACAAAAGAACTTGTCTACTATGCACGTAGCACTGGTAAGTAAAACTGCACATATGGCAATGGTTATAATATGAGGTTATCTTCTAATACAACCATTTTTTCCTTGAACCTTTCCCTCCTCACTTCCTTCTTTCTACTTTCATTCCAGTGGAGAAGTATAGGCATATGTAATATTTACAGATGGCTAAACAAATTCATATCCAGAAGTCATTTATAGAGTACAAGTTTTCCTATGAATTTCAACACAAAATGTACAAAATGTACAAAATATACTAATTTTACTAACTACTTGGTCATATATGGCAACCTCTTTAATATCTAGAGACTAGATGTTACAAAACTGGGATTCATTTGTCCATTATATGTACTATATATAGAGCAAAACAAAATGCACAAAACATGCAGAAAACTGATATCTAAAAATGTTCAAGTATGAACACATTAACATACTACCTTTTGCAATTGCTTCCCTCCTACCTCCTCCACATCATTGAACAAGTGTGGACAGTACTATACTGCTCACAATGGTGGCTTAACAGTTCTAGTCCCAAAAGACAATATTTCATAGGAATTTTAGCAAAGAGATATTTACAAATATCTCATTTTATTAAGTATTATTATCTTATATACGAGATATCTCTTATATTTTATTATTAAAATATATTTTACTACCTCAACATTTAATATACAGTGGGTATTTCTAAACTTCTAGAGACAGTAGATGTTTTAAGTACGGATTCAATTTGTTTACTATGTACCTGACAGTCTTGAATAAACTGTACACATGTAACAGTAGTTCTAATTTAAAAATGTCTTCAAAATATGAGTATTATGGTCCTTTACTGACCCAGTGGGCTATAATCAAGCCTAGATTTTTATTAGCTTGTTTCTAAAGGAATTCTTTTCGTATTCCAAATATTTCCTTTTGTTAAAAGCTTGGTTTTTCTATCTCATAAGGTCTCTTCTGTCAGGGATATGATGATTGAGTCTGTAATTTTGTTTTCTTTTCTGAAATGTGTAAATTGAACATCTCTCCTAGTCATATTTACAATATTATCTTGGTCTGTTATTGTCCTGCTAAGAATTTCAATTTGACCTTATTCCTACAGCAATCAGTTTAATCATATTTCTTGTCTCTAGTTGTATTCACTCTAATATAATGACCATCTATCTGGTCCATCTTTGGGGAAACTCCAGGTATTTTGCAGTGCATTTCTTCCAGTATCTATCATCCAAAATGTGTGAACTCTCCTTGAGGATAGAGGGACCTGGCACATAGTGGGTAGTTATTTAATATTTATTTAAATAAATTAAGGAATCCCTAGCCATTACAGTTTGTCATTTGTTTATTTTTCTGCTTGTTCCCTTCTGTGGTTTCCTGATTGTTCCTCCAAAGGCATTTTGTGTGTGTGTGTGTGTGTATTCCTTAATATAACTGGTGGTAGAGGTAGGGAGCTAACCTTATGATTCCTTACAAGATCACTTGTCTATTGATGCTTGGAATAGAGAAAAACCTTTATAAGATGCCTTAACACAAGAGTGCCTATCACAGCCACCATTATAAAACGTATTTTTTGCATAGTCACGTTTATTGTTATTAGAGTCTCATTATTCATGAAATAGGTTAACTATTACTTAACACATTAAGATTAAAAAAAAGATTTTCTAAACCTTCAGTTTGGCTACTTTTATAAACAGAATTTATTGGATTAACTTAAGATACTTGAGGTTAGAAGTTTCCAGTTTTTCTTTTGTGAAAGCTGTTATTTATTTATAAAAACACGTATCTCTTCTTTCATATTGCTGCCTTAAATTGAACCTAGAAAGAAATGGTAGTTAACAGCATAGATTACTGATAGCCTACCCTTGATGAAGGAATACTATTAAATAGAACATGTCATTGGTTCACAGTTCATAAACTTCAAAGTAAAGTGAATGGAATGCTTAAAAGATTTCCATCTAACATATTGCTCTTCTACTCCTTAATCACAAGTTTTGTCTATGTGGCTTAATGTGTGACTATTGGCTAGCTGGTTTTGAAAATTTTATTCAGTGTCTCTTTGGTTCCATGATAAAATGTTATTCCTTTTTAGTGCTTTTATATTATTTGTTTTTAAAATTCTTGCGTGGCACTGGGGATTGAACCCAGGGTCTCTCACCTGCTAGGCAAGTGCCATTGAGCTATAGCCATAGCCCTAGTGATTTTGTATTACACGAAGTTGTTATAAGATTGGAGAATTTACTGGGTCTTACACAATCTATTGTCAGTGTTATAGCAATTTGATTGTAGTTTTTCAGTTTCATTGAGGCATAATTGATGTACACATCTGTGAAAACAGCACCCAAACAAGATAGTGCATATTCCTGTCTTTTTCCTTCAAATACCCTCTTATCTTTTGGTATTATCTTCCATTACTCCTCCTTTCCTTCTCGCCAGTCCACCATAGATCTGCTTTCTGTCACTTTAGATTAGTTTGCTTTTTCTTGTCTGGCTTATTTCATTAAACATTATTACTATTTTAGCATAATTATTTTTTCTGTGTTGGTGCCTGTATCAATAGTTCTTTCCTTTTTATTGCCGAGCAGTATTTGACTATGCATGCTACCCTTGTGTTAGACTATTTCTCTATTCATTCACATGTTTGTGGACATTTGGGAGTGTTTCCTATTACAAACAATGCTGCTATGAACATTGGTGTACAAGTCTTTGTATTGACACAGATATTTCTTTCTCTTGGGTAAGTAGCTTAGGAACGGAGTTGCTGGGTCATATGATACATTAACTTTTAAAGAAACTGCAAGTTTAGCAAAGTAGTTGTACCATTTTACATTCCCACTAGCAGCATTTTGGAGGTACAGAGGGAGGCAAAATATTTAGGAGTTTTTTTCTCCACGCTTTTGGAAAACATTTTTGAATAATTTACAAAAACTTGGAACTCTTATTGGTAAAATATCATATTTTTGTCCTTTTTTTCTTCCTTAGTGTGAGAAATTGAAAAAAAAAAACAGTGTTCTTAAATGTGTCACATAAAAGAGGAAAAAATACTTGTATTTGGATTATTTGGTATTCTGAGTGATTGGTAAGATACTAAGAAACAGATGTTAGTATGGCATTAATAAAATAAATGTGGAGTTATTAGAAGTAACTCTGAAGATCCTTTAAAAAGGTTTGGGGCAGGAATACGTTTATATAAGAGTTTTCTTGGAAAAATTCCTTCAGTTGACTATCATGAATTTATAACTTCAAATATTTAACCTCACATATCTCCCTAAATCCAGCACAGTTCTTTACTATTAGAAGAAACCAGTGTTTCTTTGCTGGCCCAATGATGTGGTTAGTTTGCATTTAGGGGCTTAATATCTAATGAAAAAATACATAATTTACAATACCAGAGTCCCATTCAGCTTTATACAAAGCATGTGGGAACTGACGGAACAGAAGATGGATATCACATGCTCACTCCAGGTCATAAGAATATGTTTTATTGAAAGGAATGGTATATAGAATTGCTTATATTATTTACATTATTTCTCTTTTTTTGCCATGTGCAGATGGTTGAATTCTCATAACTTAAATGTATATATGATACAACTTCACTATAATATCATTGTGGTAACAGCTGAAGCTGAATTCATATAGAGTTAAAAAACAGGGTAGGGAGGTTGGTAGGAATGTTTACAAAGGTCAGGTCCAATTGCCCCTTTTTAGTTCACACTAGGAGATTAGCATGGATAAGTAGCCAGTGGACACCCAGTCAGTGCCCCACTCCTTTCCTTCCCATGCTCTACCTAGGTTGGTTGGTTTCTTCCTTTTTTTCTTGTGTCATCTAAACTCCTTTGTCATTCCCCGATTCCCTAGGTGTTCTCTATCTCTTTGGTATCAGTAGACTACCACTTTTTCCTTTAGGATGCTAACAAAAAACTATCAATATAAATCAGTGGTACAAGTATATTTTGTAGCTTTGTTGTGCATGTAAGATAAACTATTCATGATTCTAAAAATGATAGTCCAATTTCATGAATCTAAACTTTAAACATATATTGGTGTTCTACATACTTTTCCCTAAAACATTTTTCAAAATTGCTTTAGTTGCCTATTTTGCTAAGAATTAGTAATGTGGATCTCTTTCACTAATCTGAGTAATCAAGAACTGATGAGATAGTATGACTTAGAAGCATGTTTATTTGACTAATATCACAGGATCTAGGCTCCAACCCAGTTCTGTCATTAACCCATTCTATGATTCTGGGCAAGTCACATTATTATCTGTAAAATGCATGGTGTTCTTATAATTTCGGAAGTTATGAAGATTTTCCTCCAAAAGAGGGTGAGTAAACTAAAAAGAAGTTGTTTTTGAAACCATTTTTATCTTGTTATATGTTATCCCTGAAAGTTAATGGCTTTAGTAGAAATGTCAATAATCACTTTTGAATTTGTGTATATCTCATCTGTTACAGGATGCTTTAATCTGGATCCCAATAGAGTTTTGGATGTCATTTTAGAAGTGTTTGAATGCAGGCCAGAACACGATGACTTCTTTATATCTTTATTAGAATCTTACATGAGTATGTGTGAACCGCAAACACTGTGTCATATTCTTGGGTTCAAATTCAAGTTTTACCAGGTAAAAAAAATATATGTATATACAGATTAAATTCATACTTTTATGAATATAATTTAATTTGAGTTTCATTTATAAATGATTTGTTTCAGCTCTGATTTATTTAAAGCAATGGAGAGCTAATGATGCATCATAATGAGTACCATACTAGTTGTATGAATGATGTGGTGTGAAAGCATAGAGGAAAGCATGATTAAATTTTGTCTCAGAAAAGATGGAGTCAGGGAAGACTTTATTGATGTAACCTTTTTTTGACCTGGTCTTTAAAGAATAAGTAGGAGTTTGTTATGAGATTTCTATGCAGGAGTGGTAAACAGTGTGATAGTGAAGATGTGGTGGTGTGAATATACATAACTGATTGAAGGAATGGTCCAGGTCTAGAATGTGCCTGGATTATAAAATAGGAAAAGAAAGGACAGAAAATGACTTTGGAAAGGTAGGTGCACTTTAGTTGTCATAGGCCTTGAATGGTGTGTCAAGATTAGAATTTTATTATATAGAAAATGGCTATTGGAATTTTTTATGGACACAAATAAGTACGTGAGGCATATCTTACATAATTTTTCATTGAGTCTCTACAAAAGCTGTCAAGCTAATCTATGCCTCTGGTTATTTCTTTCAAATTCATCCTTCATATTATCACTGTTATATTCTTAAAAGATTTAATTGAGGTTCAAAAATCTTTGCTTAAAAGGCTGGGGTTGTGGCTGAGCAATAGAATGCTCACTTAGCAAGTGCGAGGCCCTGGGTTTGATCCTCAGCACCACATAAAAATAAATAAAATAAAGGTATTGTGTCCGACTATAACTAAAAAATAAATATTTAAAAAAATCTTTGCTTATAGGATGAAATCCAAATGTATATGTGTAGCAGAAAAAGCTCATCACAATCTGGCACTGTTCTTTTTTCCTCAGACTTATCGTAGTCATTTTTTTTTTCCTTAAATCTGATATTCTAGTCATTATCAAATGACTAGCTATTTCCCACATTTAGTTATAGACATTGCTATGAACTTTTGTTCATGCAGTTCCTTATAACTAGAAAACCCTCTTTCTTTTCTTCATCTTGTGAACTCCTATTTATTCTTTTAAGAATAAATGTGCTACTTGCTCTATAAAGTCTTAACTGGCACTTTACCTATTCAGAATTGGTCATTTCTTAATCTGTATTCACATAAAACCTGACACACAATTTCTAACACTTCATCAGGTTACATTAGAATAAACTTTTTTTTTTTTTTTTTTTTGCCAGATTGTGAGCCATATAGGGCAGACTCTATGTTTTATTAATGTCTGGAATTAGCCTATGGTAAATGTTTATTAATTGTAAATGTGTGCTCTATGTTTTATGAAGAGAATTCTCTTGAGAGCAGGGAATATTTTAATTTAATAAGGCCTCCACTGTACTTTTGGTATAGCTTTGCTAATGTGCCTACTTACCTGGGATAATCAGCTAGTCAAAAAATTCTCATTCATTGAATGTTAATTATATCCTGTTGCTTTGCTAGACACTGGTAGTACTTTGCTGAAGAGGAAGGTCCATCCCTGTACTCTTGGAGCTTGTGTTTAGGATAATAAGAATGATATAGCACCTACTGCCTCTGCTTATCTTTTATTTGTGCATTCCCTGGAATGGTTCAGGAGATAGAATGCTCCAGAAGATAAAGCAGATCAGAATTCAAAAGCATATAGCTTTCAAGCCCAAACAAGGTGCATGGCAGCGTTTTGGGCAAGAGAGTACTACACATTTGTTTAAAAATTAGCAATGGCAGGGTGTTCCTTTTCCTGTCAGGAGCCTGAGAAAACACTCTTAGTATAAGGAAACAGAGTTTCAAGTACTCCATCAGATTTTAAGAGGCAGCATGATTGCTTTGGGTTTGAGAACATGAAGCCAACCTCTGTGGCAAAAGGGTAGCCAACATTTAACTTTGGGCATGATTAATTAGAATATATGTTAGGGTTTTGGATACTGTAGATTTTAGAGTATATCACAGTGAATAATGATGAACTGTATAACATCAAGTTATCTCAGTGGTTGGTTTTAGAATAAGAAAATCTTATGAAAATATTCTTATGTAGCTTTTTTTTTTTGAGCTGAATTAAAGTATACTGGAGAAGTGCCTGACAGTTTTCAAATAATCCTTTTTTTTATAGATAATGGGCATTGTTTTTCTTATATAAGAAGTATCCATCCAAAAAATATCTGATTTAGAAATAACCTGTTATTGGAAGGAGTGAGTCTCATATTGCTTTAAGTAATACTGGTCCACTGTTTCTGTTGCTAGGAACATTTTTTCTATTGTTAAGGTTGTTTCTGTTCTAATTGTTAACATTGTTTCTATTCTAATTGCAGTAGAAAAATTGTTTATATTGCTATTTTTTTTTCCTTGTGAGAATCTATTGTATCCAGGGCCACTAAAGGTAGGGAAAGAAATATCAGGGATTTTAGTTATTTTGTGATCTGGGAAGAAAAGTAAGGAAAGTTATGAAAATCAAAAACTGCTTAGGAAATATATCCTTGAGAATTGGCTCCCAGGCATGTATGGTCAACCTGTACTTTGCCTAACTCCACCATCCCCCTTTTCCATGACTTCCTGAAGATGTTTCCTCTCCTTTCTCCCAACCCATATTTTGACCAATTGGAAATTGTTTGGAACAGCAGGCTTCTGTAGGCAGAACTAAATTTTCCTACTATGATGTTGGCAAGAGGGATTTAATTCTAATATCAACCTTGGATACTGAATGTTTTGACTTGGAAGAGTAATAGAAGATGTAAGCAGTTGTAAAGCACATGATCATTTTGAAGAGTAGGGCAGGCACATCTCTGTTCCTCTTACAGGGTTAAGGGAAATACAGGGATAAAGTAAAGCACAAAGAACAGTAGGAAAGAAGTGCTACGAAGCGTGAGGGTACTAAAAGGCAAGTTTGGCTGGGTTGTTTTGCCACAGGAAAAGAGATTGTGGCTCTCATCTGTGTCCCAACCCCTTGATTTCTGGTTCAAAACAGTGTTAACATGGTCAAGCCCTGTTATGCTTACCCCAAATTCATTCATTTAAGAAATGTTGATTGAACCTCTTGGGTACTAGGTGCTGAGGCTACATCTGTAAACAAATAGAAAGATTTTTTAGACTTTCTTAATTTAGCTCATCTCTTCCCCACTCCACAGCATTGAATAATATTGACAAGGCAAATCCCTAGAAGACTCTACCTTTTGGATTTATATAATTGCTTTTTCACAGTTGAATTAATTTGTTCTTTGTCCCTGTATTTCTTATATACTTGGAGTTGGGTCTAAAGGCTTGATTATACTGAGTAAAATGATTAATGACAAAAATATATGGTTATAATGTTGTATATTGCATAACTCTAATGACTATCTTTAAATGATTCAGTAATGGTGGCAGCCTGATGCCTCCATTATAGAGTGACATTCCCCTTCTCATCAGTAGCAAGGTAAATATTATGTCATCTTGTGAACATTCAGTTTCTTATGGTTTATAATCCATGGTTAATCCTTTCTTGAGCCACATTTTTTTTCTTAGAGGTTCTAAATTGCTGATTTACTAATGCTAATTTACCTCTGTAATCATTAGCTGTCATTCTTCAACAAAGAAGAGCTTCCCTTTATCAGCTCAGGCCATTTGGTTTCCTTAAAAATGCAGTTTCTACTGGAAAGTCAGACGTGTGCTTTAATTTTTCCCATTAATTACCAGCTGTCAGAGTAAAGAGTTTCTTTAGTAGCAACCTCCAGTGGTGGTATGAATGGTGAGTGGGTGTGTGGGATGTGCTTGTGCATATTTGTGTTGATTTTAATTTTCAAAGGATTCATCTGATTGATTATGGTAGCAGTGAATGTTGATGAGATTCTAAATATATTTTGAAGGTAGAGCAATAGTAGTTTTTGATGGATTGGATGCAGGATGTGAGAAAGTAGAATGGAGGACTATTCTGAAATTTTTTTGGACCAAGCAGCTATAAAGATGGTATTATCTACTGAGATGCAGAAAATTTCAGGTGAAATGGGTTCAGAATGTTGGAGGTGGGAATGTAGAATTCAATTGTGTATGTGTTAATTTTTGAGATATGTGTTCCATATCCAAGTGTAAATAACTGATATTTGAATCTGGTAAATCACTGAATTTGAATCAATAACTGGATGCATGGAATCTAGTGTTCAGGAGAAAGGACTGGGCTACAAATAGAAATATGTGTATCAAAAGCATATGGATGCTATTTAAAGTTGTGACATTGGATGAAGTCAGCAAAGTTTGGATATAGAGAGAAATAGGAAAGACCTAAGGACTGAACACTGGGGCACTTCAGTTGTTAAGGGGTCTGAGAGAGAAAGAGGAACCAGCAGAAAAAGTGGAGAAGGAACAACATGTATGAGGAAAACAATGAAAATGCATTTTGGAAGCTTACTTGAGGAAGAAGTGATCAACTGTGTCAAATGCTTCTGATAGGTCATTTAAGGACTGAAAATTGACTATTTGATTTATCATTTATGAGGTAACAGTGAGCTATTTTGGTGGAGTTGGGGTTGTAGTAAGATATAATGGGAAGAGTTGAATTGGAGACAGAATCAACAACTGTCAAGCAGTTACTACAAATGTATGCAGACACATGGGGTGGTAGATGGTAGAGGAAATGGGTGCAAAGATGGGAGAGTGAGAACATACTTGTGTGCATATGGGAATGATTGAGTAGAAAGGGGGAAACTGCCCAGCTACTTGGGAGACTGAGGAAGGAGGATCACAAATTGGAGGCCAGCATGGACAGCTTAGGAGAAGTCCCATCTCAAAATAAAATGCAAAAAGGGCTGGTGTATAGCTTAGTGGTAGAGTACTTCCTAGCATGTGCTAGGCCCTTGGTTTAATCCCTTGTACCACCAAAACCAAAACAACCATCATAAACAACAACAATGACAATCAGTGATACAGGAGAGACTTATTGGGGCAGTGGTTTTTCCTTTGCCTTGTCCTTCCTTTCACCTGCTTTCACCTC